AAAATCACAGTCAGTATCAACTTGCGAAAATATAAATAAAAACAAGCAAATTATTATTGAGGGTTGTGAATCACTATCAACAATAACGAGCGAAAATCAGGACATTGATATTAACACAACAACATTAAGCTGTTCATCAAAATCTTCTATTGCCATTAGTTTTAATAATCTAACAAATTGTACTATTAATGTTCATAATGATAAATAAAAAATTGATTATAATAATTTTCATAACGTGTACAAAAGTACAAAATTTTATCTAATCCCGCTTTAAAATAGGAAAAAAATGGAAATCAGTTACGTAAAAATTCATTACATCACTCAGTCATGTAATGGGACTGACATGAAAAACGTGACGTTTCGTAACGTCAAAAATGCATTTAAAACTTGACAATTCATAACGGGGTTAGATAATAGTTATTTACATAACCAGTTATGAAAAGATTAATTTTATTTGACGAATGTAATATTTGTCAAAACGAGCGAGCGAAGCGAGCGAGTTTTGCAAATTACATGGGTCAAGTAAAATTAGTCTTTTCATAACGTGTTAAGTACAAAATTTTATCTAATCCCGCTTTAAAATAGGAAAATGATAATAATCAGTTACGTAAAAATTCATTACATCACTCAGTTATGTAATGGGACTGAGTTAAGAAAAATGTGACGTTTCGTAACGTCAAAAATGCATTTAAAATGCATTTCATAACGGGGTTAGATAAAGTAATTTTACTTGACTCATGTAATTTGCAAATATTACATTCGTCAAATAAAATTAGTCTTTTTTTTTTGTTTTTTAAATTATAAACACTTTTTTACTTGTCTAATTTTCACTTTATTTGTTATTTTACAACTAGTTTCATCCTATTCGGACATTTTCAAGTAACTAAATTATACACAGATTTTACTTTAATTTAAATATAAACTGACCTGAATAGAGGGATGGGTCGCTTTATGGTTGATAATATAATTCAAAATAGTACAGATGTTATGTTATTAAATGTAGGGGTTTTTTCGAGCTAGTAAATTATATTATGGTGTGATTTTTATTAGCAGTAGTTTATCTGAATAAGTTTAATAACGGAGAATTATTTAAATCTATTTGGTCGTTTAATATGTTGTAATTTTTATTCCTATTTAATTTATTAATTTCTAACACTTCTAATAAATTAAGTTTTTTACTTTTCCCACAAATATGTAATATTTTAGGTTGATGGTCGTCAGTTATTGTATGACCAGAATCTGTTAGATGTTTATAAAAGTTGGAATGTTGTTTTTGTGTGTGAATATGTTCTCTATATCTTACTCCGAACGATCTCCCTGTTTGGCCTACATATGAGGCGTTACATTCTGGGCAATCTAACCGATATACACCACATTTTTTAGAGATATCAGTTTTTTGTTTTGCATTGAAAAGATATCAGCCTATATTTTTGTTAGAACTAAAAGATGTTTTAATATTAAATTTGGAAAAGGTATTGCTAATTGAATAGGAGAGTTGACCTGAATATGGTAATGAAATGTATGTTTGAACTTTTTTCTCGTTAATAGTGGGATAAAGTTCTTTCAAGAGGGACTTATTTTGTTTTTTATAGATTAAATTGTTGATTATATTTTGAGGGTACCCGTTATTATGTGCAATAAGTCTTATTGTGTCTAATTCTTCTTTTAAATCTGTCTCAGATTTAAAATTAGTCTTTTCATAACTGGTTACGTAAATAACTATTATTTGGTTTCATGTTAATATTGGCTCCCGTTTCTAATAGCAACGGGAGTAAATGTATATTGTCTGCCGTTGCTATTGGAAACCGACTGAAGGGAGACAAACGTATATTTTCGGTAGTAGAAAATACCTATACTGACAAACAACAGAAAATGTCACTTTCGGAAGCAGGTGTCAAAAAAAGAAATTTATTGCTTTTTATTTTTTTATATGACAGCCAGAACCCTGAGACTTAGACATATTGAAGCTCCTGTACGAATAAAACAATCCATTACGTATGTGAGGTACACTGACTTTGCCGCAGACGCCAGGCATACTCTCAAATTAGGGGGTACAATAAGATTAAATATTATCCCATTAACACTACGTTTGCCACCGAAGGTGACGTCCACTTTGAACTTATAGGTATATCACATATTCATGATGGAACAATAAGGGTTTCAACACTAATCCCCAATATCAAATAATGCAAATGGAGATAGACGTAGCAGACAAAACAAAGTGTTCGACTGGTAAGCGTTACCAGCTTAATGGCATAATCGACAGGAATCCGGAGTCCGTTAGTGAGACAGTTTAGAAAGCCGAGATTAGCGATTGTGTCGGTGTAGCGGTGAAATCCTGTGTGAGCCGTTTGCGCAATTATAACTGTGGGGTATCGACTAAGTTTCCTGAGTTAGTATCTCAGAAAAGCGGCAAATTATCAGTTTGAATTTAGGCACAGAAAATCAAAAATTGTTGATTTTTACTTTCTTATACGTAAAGGGTCCTTTAAAAATGCTAATTCTCTGGTTAATCAGATAAATACTTTTAAAATGATGTAAGAAAGATAACTATTATTTTTAACATAAAAAAATTTCGCGTTAAATTCACATATGATATTGTTAACTGTGGACAAGTACCATTTTTAGATGTATTAATAATTAAAAATAGTGAAAATAAGTCCTGAAGTGGGTTGGAACCTTTGATGTTAAATAATAAATATGATGTATACATAAAAAAGCATTTCTTAAGTTTAAAAATTTTCCTTTCATGGTGACTGAAGTGACTGAATTTTTTTTAATCTCAAATATTTTTTTGCTTCTAATACTAAGAACAATTCAGTTCTTGCCTCTAGACTGAGTAGTTGTTTTAATAGTTTCTATGATAAAATGTATTGAAGGTGTTGTTTTTGATTTATTATATACCTAAAATTTTTATACTAACACATTCATATAAGAATGACAGTATAAAATATAAAAAAATATAGGTATTTATTGTTATTATCATGTTAGGTTTGAGAGAATGCATTTGTAATAACTAGAGCTGTCCGATGTGCCTGGAGTACAGCCACGGTCTTGCGCTGTCATCACACGTGCCGATTTAGAAGTGATTTACGCTGCAGTTTTATTTGAAAGGTTAATGCGTGAGGTTGTACCTATAAATTATACATAATGTCAAACGCGCCAAAGGGTAAAAAACGACCGTACGCGGACACAGTGAATAAATTTATGCAAAATAATTTGTAAAGTTTGCAATCAAGACTTAATGTGCTGGCACAAAACAGATTGTCGTCGTCATATCAATACCGTGCAACATCAAAATAAAAAAATGGCATGCCTTTGACAACTCAGTTTATGTGTGATTTATTGTTAATTTTAATAGCCTGTAATATTCCGCTACACATACTGGATAAACAACCATTTCGGGAGTTTTGGAATAAATACAATCCCCAGGTGAACTTACCAAGTCGTACATCGTTATGTAGATATATTCCAGCTGTTCGTGAAGACATTGTAAATAAGATTAAATGTGGATTAAAAAATATACGGCTCTGGTTATGTATTGACGAGACGACAGATTGTAAAAAAAATTCTATTTTAAATATTATAGTACGTGTACTGGACCCTCTTAAACCAACATTTCCACGGCTTTTTATTATGCTGAATATTTTCAACAAATAAAAGCTGTGATACTACAGTTCAACCCTAACGAGGCTGCAGCTATTAGGGAAAGCCAGACAAGCTTTCAAGGCGTTTCCCCTTGAAACAGATTTAAAAAGTATTAATAACAATTATAGGGGACTACACAACGCAATAGAGAAATTGCAAAATAGTTCGTTGTCGTTAGTGGAATCGCTGCAAATAGTGGACGACGTAAAAACACAGCTACAGGCTATAAATGACGCAAAAAATAATCGCGTTAGTGAAAAATTCGAGAGTGTATTACAGAAAGATCCTGATTTTAGCAAATTAAGACAAATTTGTGATGGTGCAACTACAACTTCGTTAAGTGAGTTCACAGATTGTTTTACTTATGCCTGTATTACATCCGTAGATGTCGAACGGTCATTTTCAAAATACAAACATATTTTTTTCACCAAAGCGAACATCGCTGACAGAGACAGCTGTAGAAACATACCTGATGCTATTATACTATAGATCTTCCCCACTTTGTGATGACGACAACCAAACTACTTCATAAATCTGTTTAAAAGGGTGAGTTTTATACAAATTTTTATAAAATGTAACATTATTGTTAAAATTTATTTCCATTTAATATACTTATTCAAGTATTATGATATGATGTAAACATATGAGTCATATGATGGCTCTGGCGGCCAGGTGACCTCGGACAGCTCTAGTAATAACCAATAATTATGTTATTATTTTTTACTAGAAATAGATAACTACGAATCAATAATATGTCAGATTTTTTAAAATATTTTGGTATATGTTTATTAATTTTTTACTTTTTTAGAGAATTTTTTTTAATTAGGGTTATTAAAAATTAATGCGGTTTGAAACGTTGAACAACAAAAAAATTCAAATAAATCTTGCGGGAATTGGTCACATAGAAAATGATTTAATTATTAATACGTGAACTACATAAACAAATTAAATAAACTACAATTACTAGTACTATAAAATACAATAATATTACGTGATAAATAAGACCGATTAAAAAGGACCCCTTAAAATCAGAGGTTAGCTACTGCTCAGAAAAAAAAAAAATATTTTCCACTTTATTTGATTTAAGACATAACGTTTGGTGGTAACAATGTTGCCTTAGAAAAAGTCCTATTTGAGGGTATACCTACCTATTTTAGATACATACCTATTTGAAAATTTGAACATATTACACGAATTAAAAAAAAAAATTAAGCACCACAGGTAATACAACCCACTATATCCCTGAGGGCACCTCAAGACGCCTTGTGTGGGAGAAAGCTACACATTTAGAGACAATGGATACACCCAATGTCCAAGTATGCTAAAATTAATTTCTGGTTAAGAAAAAACCCTAGCCCCTTGAGCGGGGATCGAATCCGAGACACCAGAGTGAGAGGCAAGTATCTTTACCACTCGACCACGAAACCACGAATGTTCGATTAATTCGATTGTTCGACTATAATCGAATATTTTAGTAAAATCGAATATTTTCGAATATTCGAATATTTGATTTAGAATTAATCCGAATTTGAATACTGAAATATTCGATTATCGAATTAATCGTAATCGATTCCCAGCCTTAATTATTCCTCCGTAGGTCCTAAGATAGGTATATAATACTCTGCTATGAAATTAAATATAAGAAGAAGCCATTTTGTGTTTAGCCACGCCTCACGAGCTTTAATTCTGCTTCAGTACTGGGTGTAAGATATGGATGTCAATAGCACATCAATGGCATGTGCATACAAATTGCACAAGCATTTGAATCATCGAGGCGCCATATCTACAGTAGGTAAATAAACCGAGTGTAGAAAGGAGGATACGATGCGGCGTACACTCGTTACTTCACAAACACAACGTACAAAAAGACAACAGCGATGTATAAATCTCTTTCGGTCGCATACATGACTTTGCTATTTTTATTCTTCATGCACACACCTAAAGCAGGCTTTCTTCTTATTATTTTTTCAATACTGTATATTCAGAAACTTCTCATTAAGTGGTAACTGTACTAAGGAACTTATTAAATAACGTAAAAAAAAAGTAAAGCAATCTATATTCAAAAGTTGCGTCAAGCAACGCAACGATTATAATCGTATTTGAAGGAAAAAACAGTTCTTCAGCGTTATGATGTAAAAGAGAAGGGAACTTGTTTATAAACGATGTACTGACAGCACTCTGAAAATTAAAAATATTTAAGATTTTTTATTCACATATAATTAATAGGTTTATCCTGACAGGCAGAAATCCGCCCGACCAAACTACATTACACTGACAAGTCATTTCCCTCAATAGCCTATTTACACAGATCAAGTGTATGAATAGCGGAAGGTCTGCCAGATAGAGGAAACAGCGCCAATAAGTGGTGTGCACTTACACGAGTAATTTCTAATTTTGTCCCAGAATTCACACGTTCAATATTGTAGGTCCCATTCCGATTGAATTCAATATTTATTGAGGGTAATGGTCTGTAGAAAATAAAACTATTAAAGTTTTTTTAGTTCTAGTAAAACTACTTACATAGTTCATTAAAAACGAACAGAAATACCCTTACTTTTAGGTAAAAATACCTCAACAACCGGAGAGACATTTTACGAAAAAAAGTTTCAATAAACAGACATAGTATTTCGTTCGGTGTCAGAGGTACAGGGCGTCGATTTTTAATTTTTTAATTACCGCTCAAACAGATTGGGATATCGATATAAAACTTAGTACACTTATTGAACAGTTCATAAACAATATTCAGTAGCTATTTTAATTCAGATATACTGCATCTTTTCATTTTCGAGTGCATTTATCGTTTAAATCCCTCACAGCGAGTCTCCTTGTATATTTTGAAACATTTAGAATTTGCACATTTTGATACTACATCAATTCCATTAAAAAATTGTTTTCTAAATCCTATTGAAAGCACAGATATTTTACTTTGACTCCCTAATGAGCAACCTTATATATCACATTAAAGAAATGAATGCAGTTTTTATCACGTGTGTAAGGGGAAATGGTTAAATTACATAATATGATTAAATATTCCTTTTAAGAATGAAAAGCATGCCGTTTTATTCACTGGCGTAGGTTGACTAAAAAGCAAAAAATGTATGTCATAGCTAGCGACCGGTAATGCTCAAATTAGTGTACGACATCGAAAGACAGCATCGACAGTATGAGTGGAGCTCTGGTGCGATACAGTTCGCTGTCCTGATTGTGCAGTGATTTATGTGTCATAGTTAACGAGATTAATAATTATTGTGAATGATTTATGCGTCTAAATGAATCTGTGTTATGGAAATGTAATAGTGAGATGTTCAATAGGATATCGGAGTTGTCACCGAATGTGATGCTAACAGAGTGTGATACATGTTTTTATCTACGACTATTAAATAATGTACCCATTATGTATGTGTTTGTTTCCTCAAGAATAATGCTATCCGTTATTCACTGCAATGAAGAATGAGTTCATTATTCACTGGAATTTTTTTTATTAAAATGTCATCGACTATGCCGCGAAATGTCAGCGGAATTGCTATTTGATTTGAAGCGTCAGAATTTTTTTCGAGATATCTTATCAAAAATTGTTATTATTTCATTATTTAGTTGTCGTCGATAAAGCATAGTATTCTACTTGCATAGAATGACTATTATTCACTGGATTTATTTATGACACACGCCTATGGCTCGTATCGTAAACTTCACCCTCGTGAATAATAGCTTTCATTACATGCTCGTTGAAGAATATACTATTATTATATCTATTAGGTTTTCCTGAACATTGGAAGAAGGTAATTAATATTATCAGTATTATTCAGGAGCATTTTCGCATTTTAAATAATATTGTTAGGTATCAGAATATCGTAACGAAACTCCCAACAAGCTGTTCCAACGGAAATATCTTCAAATTTTGTCTGGCTTTCACAGCTTTTATTTGTTGGAAATATTCAGCATAATAAAAAGCTGCCTGCAACCATGTTCCCCAACGTGTAAGAATCGGCTGTGGTGGTTCAGGAATACCGGGACACTTGCTATGAAACGCTCGGAGACGTTTAGGAGATTTAAGAAACACTTTTTTTGTACTTTCTATTAATGCATCCACCTCTGGAAAACCTTTTCCAATAATTTCTGCCACAAGATGTAAAGCATGCACTCTACATGTAACATGTATAAACGTAAAACCTTGTTCTTGCATAGAACGGCCTACCGAACGCATTGTCACGGCGCCATCAGTCACAAACATCAACATTTGACTTTTCGACAGTTCAAATTTTTCTAACGTCTCCAGCACCACCCTGGTAATTGTTTCGCTAGTACACTGTCTTAGTCTTTTGCTAGCTAGTAACAGTAGAACTGTCGGTTTAAGAGGGTCCAGTACTCGTACTATAACATTTAAAATAGAATTTTGTTTACAATCTATTGTCTCATCAACAGATAACCACAGCCGTGTATTTTTTAATTCACACTTCATCTTATTTACCATGTCTACGTGTACAGTTGGTAGATAGTTATATAACGTTGTGCGACTTGGTAACTTTACCTGGGTATTGTATTTATTCCAGAACTCTCGAAATGGTTGTTTATCGAGTATGTGCAGCGGAACATCACAGGCAATCAGCATTAATAGTAAATCAAACATAAACTGTGTTGTCGAAGGCACGCCATTTTTTTTTATTTTTATGGTGTACATTATTTACGTGAAGTCCATAATTACGCACATCAAATCTTTCTCGTACACTTTACAAATTATTTTAGCACCATCATAGAATAAATCCGGGAATTCACCTATGAATTTATTCACTTTGTCAGCAAATGGCCGTTTTCTACCCCTGGGTACGTCTGCCATGCTTTATTATTAAATTAATATCAACAATACAGTACAACAAATAAAATAAAAACACAAAAACAATATGCAAAACGCCCAAGTGATTTAACTCGAAAGCTAATAATAGACTAGACTGGAGAAAGAGTTTCGCGGTCAAGGTGAATGCCGGCGACAGTAAGTACATCTGTACTCTACGACCATGATACACAGAAACGATTTGCAGCTTTAGTTATGATTTAATATTTTTTTGTACACCAAGGCGATTGTTTTGGAATACTAGATTTTACATCGTTTCAGAAACTAATATATTTTTTCAACAACAGTTCTTGAAAATAGGCATGTAGTGTCAGTTTCCCATTTTATCCAGCTGGGAATTTTGTAATTACATAATTCGATTTACTGTGCAGAAACTCGTCCTACTTAATTTAAAAGATATTTCATCTTGTCAGTGGCTGACGTTGTCGCATTATAAACAAATGTGCCAACTTTATTAGCTAAAACCTTTTTTAGTATAACTCCAATGTCAGCTCTAAAATTACAGTTTAATATTTTACAGCAATTTATTAATTTGCTTTCGGGCGGAGCCATTTAGTTAATTAAAAATGCTATTTATATTTTGAAACAGATTTGCAAAATATCTAGTTTATACACAACGCAATTCGTGGTAAGATCCATATGCATCTTCATTTTAAAAATATTAATGATTTTGTATTTATCAGTTAAATTACAAATTACATTTTTTCTGAACGTTGCTATTCCGTATACAGGGTGTTCAATGTATCATGTCCAAGCCTAATTTCTTAAAAAAAAATAAATAAATAAAAAATAAAAGAAAAACAAATGGCCAAACTTTCTTCAAAAAATTTAGTATTCTGCCTTTACAAGAAGTGTAAATGTCGAATAATATTTTCTTTCTATCGATCGATTCAACTTCTATAGTGCATAACATTGCAAAGACAACTCGAAAATAATACTTGTTTTGCCTTAAGTGAGGTTAACAACTATATAAATAATTACCGAACTAGTATCATGGCATGCTATTTTGATAATATTTTCCGCTTACTTAAAAGTAAAAAAGCAATTAGTTCACTACATTATTCAGCAAAAGACAAGGTCACCCATATATACCGTGTGTAAAACGCCTAATGTGGCAAAATGTGAACAAAGACCGATTGAACAAGTTAGATGGACATAACAGTGTGAGTGTATTGTAGGTGGCCGGTGAGACAGACTGAGCCTGTCCTTTCGTTAGCTGGGTGTGTCTATTTCATTTCATTTCATCCTAGTTCGCAGCCATCATACGTATTCTTTTTCTACTTGGCCACACTTGGCGTTATACATAGAGTATATACAGGGTGAGTCAGTTTTTTGTAGACAAACTTTAACAGGAGATAGAACACATGTTTTTAAAAAGAAAAGTTCCTATAAACATCTATCGTAGAACGCTTCGTTTCCGAGATACAGGGTGTTGAATATAATTTTTTTTTCTCGAATTTTCATTATAACTTATAAACGAATGCTTAGATTTTTTTCCATGTTTGGGGGATAATGCCTATTAATTAAGGGGCATAAAACAAGCGATAAGAATGGTCAAAAACTTGCACAGTGGCGGAG